TTAGGATGTTCTGTTTCCTTTGAACTGTAGCCAAGAGACTCTTCATAATAGCCTGCATTTAAAATCCAATTGTAAAAAAAAAAAAAGTGACAACACATTGTGGCTGTTTACTTGTCTTGTTTGTTGTTAGGATGGGAGAACAGGCTAGTACTATCCGTGGGGTGTTTACTCTTTGAGTCAGCCTATTCCAAGGTAGGAGTGTTTCTGGTGGAGTCAAGATTGAGTGACTTTCTCCGTGGTTGAAGCCAAAGGGACCCCAACAAAGCTGCTGCTGTTTTGATCCTGGGGTTTTGATCTTCTTTGGTTTGCTAAAGCCCTGTTTTAAATTGCCCTTAGTAAGCAAGACACTACCTTGCAGGAAGGAATCAGGAAATTTAGATTCTAATTGTGGTTTCAATTCTGTAACTCATTGTGGATGATTTGATTGGCTGGAAGAGAAAACTCAACCTGGCTTTTGTTTTTGTCTCTGAACAAATGGAAGTTAGTTCTCTTAAGGAAGGGTAATTGAGATAATGGCTAAAATTCTACCTGGTGAGTAACTTACTCCTATGTTCCTAGGGAGTAGAATTTAACCTTTGTAGGTCTCTAGGGTATAATGAACATTAGACCTGAGGCTACACTTCTGGGAACAGGAAAGTCTCTAGGTCCTTATTTTTGTTCAGATATAGAGTACCTGGAAGTCACGGTGATTTTTTTTTTTTTTAAGATTTTATTCATTTATTTATTTGAAAGAGAGAGAGAGAGACAGCGAGGGAGGGAACATAAGCAGGGGGAGTGGGAGAGGGAGAAGCAGGCCTCCCGCTGAGCAGGGAGCCCGATGCGGGGCTTGATCCCAGGACCCCGAGATCACGACCCGAGCCAAAGGCAGATGCCCAACGCCCTGAGCCACGCAGGCACCCCGTCACGGTGATTTTAATAGCAAACCAGGAAATACCAATATATCAGTTCCATCTTAGGAACTGTGAATGACTTTATTAGTAGAAAATGACCACGTATGTGAAGTCAAGTCAGAAGCACTGGCTGGCTCAGGTTTGAAGGTGAGGTGGAGAGCTGTCTCAACTGAGCATGACTTTTTTGTGTCTTTGTGGGGGTGCCAGTTTCCTGCTGCTCGCCTTTCCTTCCTTGTTCTGCTGTATATGCTTTGTTGAAAAACCCTCTGTCAGATGCCAGAAGATTGATGAAAAGTATATGGGAGAGAATCTTAAAACTGAGAAAGTTTTCTTTCGCCAATTTAATTTGTTTCGCGAACAGGGAAGAAAACGTCTGTTGTCTTATTTTTATCAGGGGACCGTATTTCTCTCAGATCTTAAGCTTATTTTTTAATCTTAACGATATGTGTTCACTGTAAATAACGTAAGCAATAAAAGAAAACTTAAAAAATAAGGTAAAAATCAAAGAATGAAGTAAAAATCACCCAAGGCCTAAACCTAGCAATGTATTTTAACGTTTTGTTAAATACCCTTATATAATTTTTTCATACACATGTAATATAAAATACATATATACCACTTCTTATTTGGTTTTATATTCTATTATATTTCTGTTTGGGGACTTTATGGATTTTTTGGTCAGTCCTGTACTGATGTCAGTAGGTTTATTTCTCAGGGTACCCACATATAGAGAGAGAGTATTTTCTCCAAGACTTTGTACCCATTTATGTGAAATGCTCTAAAATCTTTGTAAGGAGAGGCTATTAACTAAGCAAAACTTCAGAGAAATTATTTATTCTGGATGGCTAAGTTTTTCATGTAGTGAAGTGTAAACTAATGATTACTAAGATTTCTTAAACAATATTAATGAAAAAATTTCCAGAGTTCTTGTACACTTTTAGCATATTTGAATGTATACTTTGGCCCTGGGGATTTATTTCTAGGAATTTGTCTTCATGAAGTAGAGAACATGTACAACGTATCTGTACCATGGCATTCACGGCAACACTGCTTATGAAGGCGGACATTTGGAAATGATGTGCAGTAATTTATGGCTGTATTCAATACTGTATATACAACAATGCATCCATAAAAATTCACATCCTAAAATATTTGAGAGAAGGGAAAATAATCATGGTGTAATAAGAGAAAAATGCATGTTAGGAATTGTACACAATGCCAACTTTATGAAGAAAAAACACTCTATTTTTCCAAATATATTTGTGTATTTTTATGCTTACATAAAATACATAGATACATGCACTCATGAATACCTGATTTTTTCTTATAAATAAAAAGTGTAATATGCATATAGAAAAGCACACAGACTAAGCATTTTACCATTGATCAACGTTTGCAAACTCAGCACACATGTATAACCATTACCTAAATTAAAAATTAGAATATTAGAAAATTAGAATTAGAATATTATCAAATTCCAGAAGCTCCCTCATGTTTTCTCCCATTTCATTACCCTTCCTCACCCCAATAAAAGGAAAAGTAACCATGGGCTAGATGTGTCTGGTTTTGAACTTTATAAAAATGGAATAATGCGGCAATATACTGCTTAGTCTGGCTTCTTTTGCTCAATATTATATTTGTGTGTATAACAGCTCTGCTCTCCCCATGTAGTATTCTGACATGTAACTATACTGCAATTTATTTATTTACTACTGAACATCTGTTTTTTTTTGTTTTGTTTCTGGTTTGTGTGTGTGTGTGTGTGTGTGTGTGTGTGTGTGTGTGTGTGTGTGTTTTTCCATTTTTGCTATTATAAAATGCAATGCTGTTATGAGCCTCGCTGTATTTGTTTTTGGGGTACCTACGTGTACACTTCTGTTGGGCATCTGTACCTAGGAGTGGGTTACTGAGGTTGGATATGTGTTTGCTCATTTTTAGGAAATAACACAGAACCTTTTAATGTAGTTGTACCAGTTCACTGTTGCTAACAGTGTTGGAGAGTTCCAGTGGCTCCACATCTTCACCAACACTTATTTTTGGTTTTTACTTTTAGCCATTCTAGTGCGTATGGACTGGTATCCATTGTTGTTTAGATTGCGTTTTCCTGAGGACTAGGGAGAAAATTGCACTTTGATTTGAATCAGTTCCCTTCTGAGGAAATCTTATGTTACTAAACCTTGTGCTAATCAGCTTCATTTCAACAGGAACAGAACCTGTGATCTTCCTCTGGCACTGAGGGTGTGTTGTATGTACTCCAGGTTCTTTAATTTCTAGACCCAACATTGATTCTGCTGCATCATTTAAGTGGGGCAGTCCCTAATAGATACAACTTGTCATGCATCCAAATTTTGCTGCTTGATGATCCAATTTATGTGACTTTCTATTCTGTATTGAGTGAATGTTTGAAATTGTGAAATATTTCAAGTTACCTATTCATTTCACATCATGACTGATTAAAATGTTGGCCAAAGAATTCAATTTAAGAAATCCAAAAAGAAAAACTTTGTGGCTTTAGTGCACTGATTTTCTTTAGACCAGTATATTAAGAATGACTCATCCTATTTTATTCAGAGTAACTTTTAAAAGAATCTTACTCCACAGTGGAAAATTGCAAGTAAATTTAATGCAGGGGGAAAGTGCATTTGGGACTTAAGGCTGGGTCTAATTGCTACATGGAATATTTGGAGAAGAATGGTAATCCTTCCTAGCTTTTAGTATTAATTTTTTTTGGATTATGAAACTAAGAGATCCTTGAGTCATCAAATTACTGGTCTTAGAATAGAGAGACTTCAAGGTAGAACTTCAGCCTGCCATCTTGAAGTAACACTGATATTGAGCAAGTCTTGTGTAGCCAGGCTGGATGCCAGGCATTGTCATCCGTGTTTTCTCATTTAACCCTCACCAATAGTGCGAGACGGGGAATGTTATACTTATTTCAGATATGAGGAAGTTGAGGTTGAAAAAGTCTAATGGAGGCCACATCATGATTGAGGGTGAGTGGAAATTTCCTAACTCTGATTTTACGATTATGTGATGGAAAATTATAGTATTTAGGGCCTTTGGTTTAAATTGAACAACTCTGTCGATTCTTTAGATGTCCTGGGGGCACCAGTAATGTATAAAAATGGAGTGGTAGTGTTTAAATCTCAGTTGAAGGCCAGGTAGGATATTTTATGGAGAGAGTTGTTCTTCTAGCTTCATTCTTTCTCATACTGTGTCAAGGTTTTCAAGCAATCATCCTGATTAAAGACACATTTTTCAGTAAATATAATATCACCAGCGGCAGTGGTGAAGTTAGGGAAATTTATGGTTGAGCTTCAATCTTAAAGGAACAAAAGCATACGTTTGTTAATGTTTATTTTGAACCCTGCAGCTCCTGCAGGGCTCTTTGTCCTAGGTAAATCATATATGAATCTGCTCCCAAGGAACCAGAGTTTTTTATGGATGTGTAGGAAGGCAACCTTAATATGAGGTAGAAAGGGAAACTGGTAGGAGATAGTTCGTTGCGGGCAAAGTGCCACAGGCATTCATAGCAAAAGACAACTTTCAGCTGAAGCCTATCAAGAAATGATCTCTGGAGAAGGTTGTCTTGGAACTACCCTTGAAGGGTAAGGAGAATATGGGTACCTAGAAATTGGTATCTGGTTGGGGCAAAGCCTCTAGAGAGTTTATCTTTTTATAACTCTGAATAAATTATGCTAATTAAATGAGTACTGTAAATAAAATTTAAGAAATTTACCCTATCAACAGAAAATGGTATGTGTTGTAAACCATAACGTTTAGGATGAAGATCAGGCAAAGCCCCTTTTACTTTTGGCTCTGGCCTCGTCTGCTTAGCGTTAGCCCCAGTTACTACCTTTTTCTGCCCTTTCACTCTGGAGGTTCGGAAATGGGTGCTGCGTGAGACAGGACATCCTGGGCCATGCCTCTTTACACTTTTCGTAGATGCACTTTCCCTGCAGGGATTGCCCTTGTTATCATGTAAATATTTGGCAGAGCCTGCCACAGAGTAAGAACTTGTTGGTCCTTCATGAGTGGAGCACAAATGAAGAATTAAATGAAATAGAATGTTGTGCCTTTTTACTAAGTTCATATTTTTATCGTGCACAGGTACTTGCTTGGTTAGTCACAGCCTGTCCCAGAAAGTCATTGTAGTGTAACTGCATCAAGCTGGCTTACAAACAAGAGGAACTGAGTGTGCAGGTTTGTGACTTTACGTGGAAACGGTTTTACCCGTGGCTATGATTGTATGTGTGCCGTTGTTTGGTCCCGTGAATGATTGCCTGTAATGGTTGATTCCAAATGATTGATTTTGTTTTTTCCCTCATTCCTTTTCTTAGTTTTTGGACCAGAAGGAAAGGAGAACTTATTCCTACTGCCTCTACTGCTAGTTTAAAGTTTAAAATTCTCTTGGCTTCCCACAATGTTGTTGGGACAATGGGAAAAAATTCCTAAACTAGAAATCTTTAATTGCCATTTTTTTGTGTGATGAAATTTGGTTCTTTTACTTTACAGCCTTTTAGTAATTCCAAATTCTTACTGAGGAAATTTTAAGTTAACTCTAACAATAATAGTTAACCATTATTGAATAATTTGTACTTAGAAATTTGCTAGACTTTTGCCTCCATGATCTCATATAATATAGCTCTACATCATCCTGTGAGATATTGACCGACATCTTCATGTTACCTGTAAGGCTAAACGATTTTGGCAAGGTCTCATCACTCATATGTGGCCGAGCTGGGATTTGAACCCCATATCTGCCTGCTTCGGTGCCTGAGCTACTGTGTTGAATTGTTCTTCCCTGTTTTTTTCTGTGTATTTATGCTTCTCTCCTCACATATTATGGTGATAGGATGTATCCCTGTTTTAGCTTAAAATAACATACTTTTAGTTATCACTAATCCTTTATGTAACAATATTTGTTGATTTCACATCTTTGCTACTCTGGTCAAAACTCTTTCATTTACTGTGGTGTTAAAGGTACTTAGAAATCGTGTGGTTTTTTTCTCCCCCTTCACAGCTAAAAAGGGAATTATTTAGTTTTCACATGTGGTATCCTTTTTTTAACTGGCAGTTTAGTCCAAACAGGTTGTAACACTCCTCTGAGACAGAGACAGAACCCTGGAGTCTAGATACTTGTTTTGCTAATTTGCGTGAAATGCGTGTCAAGTCACTGTGTGGTGTAACTGTGCCAGAGCACAGTGCGTGGTTAGCAACAGAGCACCCCTTGTACACACGCGGGCACATCGCAGAGAGAAGGGTAAACCCAGTGACAAAATACAGGTGCACATTCATAACATGTTTAGATTCGCAGTAGAAAAACTTGCCATAAAACCATAAGAGAGACTCTTACAAACTGCAGGTTGCTTGAGGGGAGGTGGGCGGGAGTGGGCTAGGTGGGTGACGGGCAGTAAGGAGAGCACTTGTGATGAGCACTGGTGCTGTATGTAAGTGATGAATCACTGAGCTCTACTCCTGAAACTGATGTGACACTATTTGTGAACTGGAATTTAAATAAAAACTTGAAACATAAAAAAAAACACCCTTGCAATAAGTGTCAAAAATTCTTATTGTTACAAGAACGTCTACATTTTAAAAACATAAAAACATAACTATCAATTTCATGTCCTGTAATGCTACAGTGGGTAACTGTTTATTATGTATTGGTCTGCCAGTGCTTGTGGGATAGGGTGGTATGCTTTACCAATCGAACATGTCTAGACAGAACCAAATGTATAATTATATAAAATCACAGTTCAGGGATTATGGTTGAAAAACTTTAATAATTATTGGCAACCATGTACCATTTTGTATTACTTTACATCCTTATTTTCTTGGCCTATTGCTGTAAAGGCGTTAAAGTTTATTTTTAGGCAGAACAGAAAGTGTCTAAAGTGTGATATGATATGAATCTAGTTTTTTAAGTAAAATATATTTTCCATGCAAATACATAGGTTTCTTGATTTGGATAATTGAATAAACCTAAATAAGAATTAATTGCTTCCAGCATTAAATTTGGGTAGAAGCTTTTTTGAAACCAGTGTAATAGGACAACAAAACTGCCACTTTAAATCCAGATTTCTTTTAAATGTGCATAGACTGGTGCTGTGTACAATGTGTTTTTTATGAGTTCAGACTGTCCTGGCATCTGTCTAGTTTTTATTTCCTGTCTTCTCCCTCAAGTAGTCTTCTAGGCAGTCTTAACTGCTAACCCTTTATTCTTCACAGGAGGGAAATTTCCAGCATCTCTTCTTCCGCTATTGAGCTGTCCCCTCCAACGCAGGCTGTTACAAACAAGCTACAGTGAACATTTTATTATTGAGTGTAGGAGTTCCTTATAGAGCCTACATACCAGTCCTTCTTTTTTAGATTTGTATTTTGCCATGATTTCCCCCAAGTTTTTTTTTAATGAACTTTTGATAATCAAAAGTTCTAAATAGGATTAAATCTAATGTGTCCATTTAAAAAAATGGTTATTACTTTCTGTGTCTTTGGAGGCCTTTGCCTACCCCCTCCCCCCAATCCTGAAATTTCTTCTGGAAAGCTTCATGGTTTTAGCTTATGTTTAGGTCTGTGATGCATCTTGAATTCACTTTTTTGACATGCTATCTTATTGATATTCAGTCTTTAAGAGAGATATTACCTCTATTTTATAAATGAGGATTTTGGCAACCTGAGAATTTGGCACTCTAGCCGTGGTGCTTAATAGTAAGTTTGATTTATAATTTTATTTTTTAAATTTTTTATTTTCTTTAAAGATTTTATTTATTTGACAGAGAGAGATACAGCGAGAGAGGGAACACAAGCAGGGGGAGTGGAAGAGGGAGAAGCAGGCTTTCTGCCGAGCAGGGAGCCTGATGCGGGGCTCGATCCCAGGACCCTGGGATTAGGACCTGAGCCGAAGGCAGACGCTTAATGACTGAGTCACCCAGGCGCCCCTGATTTATAATTTTAGAACCTTTTGTGGATGATCATAATGAAGCTATATTGTAGGTCATGTCTGTATGTATCATTTTGCTCAGAACTTTTTTTGAGACGTATCTTCATTGTCACAAAAACATTGTTACTGACGAACGAATGTTCTTTTGGTGACTGGGTTCATTCCTATAATGAAACCAGTGATGTTAAATGCGGAACAAGACTGCAACCTTGATGTGCATGTATTTCATCAGGGAGAGATACTGTGTTTATGTACAAATGTCCGATGAAGCTGCTTGGTGTGATTTGTCTGTTAAGAGAATCATCTTGTGATAAGAAATTGAAGTGAAACAGGGGTGCTGGGTGGCTCAGTGGGTTCAGTATCTGACTCCTGGTTTCAGCTCAGGTCATGATCTCAGGGTCGTGAGAGTGCTGGGTGGGGAGTCTGCTTGAGATTCTCTCCTTTTGCCCCTGCCCCCCTCGCAGGTGTGCTCTCTCCAAAATAGATAAATCTTAAAAAAAAAAGAAATTGAAGTGAAACAATCAACATGATTCAGTTGTTTAACCTGGCCTAATTAATTGTTTTTACTAGCTATAGTATGGGGCTCAACTCTGCTGTCAGGTTTTAGTTGTCTCAGGGTAATCCCTTATTCCTACCATTTAAGACCTCTCCTCTGACACTGGTCACTAATACCCACATCCAAGGCTCAAGAGAATGTTCTGCAGTTGATGTGTCATGGAGGATATATGTTTTGGGTGTTTCCTAGGTGTTAGCTGTGCTGCAAGCATTATCTTTTCACAAGTCTCCTTATAAGCAGAAGTAAAGAAAGATGTTCACAGTACACACTTGGGGGTGGCATGTGGGGGAACACACTCTAGTTCTCTAGGAGAGCTTCAGAGTGGTGATTTCTTCTAAGTCCTTTCATGTGCCTGGGATGTGAAGGTGAGCAGGACAGGGGGAAGCAAATGTTACTCTTAAAGGAAGCTTCGCTTCGTCATTGGGCTGCCATCCATTAGAATGTATGATTAAGCTCATTTGAAGCTTGCTGTTTACTGGGGAGAAAGGCTGCTCTTTATTTTGAGCTGAGCAGATTGAGCATAACGGAGACTGTTCAGACACATCACTTATGGGCACTCAGATTCCACTGCAAAACTGGTGTTGCCCTTGCTGCTGATCGGGCTTGTGTCTGTGTAAATAGCAAGGGCAACTGGCCAGGTTCACGGCACCCTTTTAGAGTGGCCTTCTCACTAAGGAAACATTAGCTTCAGCTGATAACTCTCAAAGAAACTAGGACAGTTCTCAGGCTGCTCTTTATTTGTACAGATAAACAATGGGTGTTAATGGAGCCATGCTGAAAGCAACAGTAAAAAAAAAGCCACTATGTTTTAATTGTATCCTCTTAGCAAGGTTATGTTAATTTTTTAATCTAAAAATTATGACTAAAGTAGAGATTTGTATGCATTATGAACCAAATTAAATACATTTTCTTAAATAATATTTGTTTTGCATAATGTTTGCTACTCTTTCTGATTAAAATGGATGTTTATAGTCTCAAGCATGTTGACCAATTAGTTTTTACGAGCTGTTCTATATTGTGCACAGGAACCAAACTTAATGGACTTGTTTATTTGTTTGTTTGGTATATTTTGAGAACAGTTTTCTCTTTCGTACTTGTTCTTTCCATTTTTTTTTTTAAAGATTTTATTTATTTATTCATGAGAGACAGAGAGAGAGAGAGAGAGAGAGAGAGAGAGGCAGAGGGAGAAGCAGGCTCCCAAGGAGCAGGGAGCCCGATGCGGGACTCGATCCCAGGACCCCGGGACCACGACCTGAGCCGAAGGCAGACGCTTAACCATCTGAGCCACCCAGGCACCCTGTTCTTTCCATTTTGATTGAATGAAGTTTTACTGAATGCTTTTCATCTATGAATCGGTTACTGATGTATGTAGTAGTTAATAATTTTAAGGATATAAGTGAAACTGGCTTTGTCTTATAAAATGGACAAGGTTTTAGAACATTTCTACAGAAAAATTTTCTGACTGCTTGGAACAACGCTTTTAATTGTCATGTGAAACCAGCCATTGATTTCATTGCCATCTCTGTGTCTAGATTTATGTCAGCATTAATTACAGTCAGTAGGGGATTCTTTTGAGTCAACACTGTGTGTGGGCATTTCCAGATGCACCATTGGATGCTGCTATGTTTAAGTGAGTGTTGACTATTATTTATAGGTAAAGAACTCTCTTGTCTTTGTAGATATTAGGTTATCTGAATCAAGTAA